TCCGGATGAGTACCTGTGTAAGTATGTGTGTCTGTCACCTTTTTCTAATAATGTGCTGTCAATCTGGGCTTTGGGAATGGCTATTTCACTAACCCTCCCTTAGTCTCATAACGTGGATCCTCAGGGAGACAGAATAAGTCATCAGCGGCTAAGCTCTGAGTCCCCAGGCAGGAAGGCAGAAATCACAGTAATAAAGAGACGGGGTGGGTGGGGTGAAAGTTGGGAGCAGATTCAAACCTAAAGCTGTCCCACTTTGTCACCTGATAAAGGAAGAAATAGTCATTGTTTTTGAGCCTCAGCTTGGATGACTTTGTAAATTTGAGTTAAAAAAGAGAGAAAAGAAATGTTACAATGCAACATATGCTGGCTGAATAATTCTCTCTGTTCAGCTGATCATGAGTAGGGATAACTTTCAAATGGCAGAGAAACCTGAAAACCTAAGGACTGAACCACTTCTAATGCCTGTGCAAACAACAACCTGATGTTGAAACTGGAGCGGTAGGCTTAGAGCGACTGGTGAGTCACTGCTCATATATAGATGTTGTTCAGCTAAATAAATGGGTGTACTGAAGGAGTACATTTCCAGTGGGTTTCAAGTGAGAAAATATGGCCTCCAGACTACCAGTTAGTCTTTCTGTGTAAACCAGCAGTAGGGTGGTTTAAATCATATTCATCTAACCGATTACAATGTGTTAATGTTGATGATAAATCTCATGCCTCACCATTACCTGTAGAGTACTACAGGGATCAGTGCCAGGACCTTTTCTCTTTACTACACACAGTAGCATCCATTAAAAATGGTCCTTCCCAGTCAAAAGCCAGCCGAATGGCAGCCAACTTCCCTGCTACTCCCAGCAAAATCCCAACCAACTTCCAGCCCCTGGAGTGAGCCCCTCCTTTTCCTGGGCGTGCATATTTTTTTACTTTGACTACACCCTTTTACTGAATTACAGGGTCTGACCAGGAGAAGACACTTTTCTTTAGATCTTAATCGTCACAAATCCTGACAGAAAGAACATTTTAGTACAATAATTGATGTTTAAAAAGGAATTGTATGGGACCAGCCGAGGACCAGCCAAGACAAGCCAAGGACCAGCCAAGGGCCCATTAAGGAAAGTGTGGACATTTTGATTAGCTACTACTGTATATGCTCCCAATCGGTAGAGTTATTAGACAGCATGGAATTCATTTCCACTGTTATGCTGATGATACTCAGCTATATCTGTGTATAAATCCAGATAAAGCAAACCTATTACAGACTACAGGGATGTCTAGTAGACATAAAAACTCTTAAGTTTCTGCTCCTGAATGCAGACAAAACAAAAGTAATAGTCTTTGGACCAGAGTCTTTGAAAAAGAAGCTGATTAGTCAGTCACTTCATTTGGATGGGATCAAATTGATCTCAGATAATAAAGTAAAAAAACTTGGTGTTATTTTCTATCGGGACCTATCCCATATCAAAGAGGTTTCTGGAATTTCCTTATTTTATCTGCAGAGTATTGCAAAAATTAGAAATATCCTGCCCAGGGCTGATGCTGAGAAACTACAGTAGTCCATGCGTTTGTTACTTCAAGGCTGGACTATTATAATTCTTTACTATAAGGAAGTCCACAAACTGTGGTTAAAAGCCTTCAGCTGTTCCAAAATGCCGCAACCAGAATTCTTTTGAAAATTAAAAAGAGACATTGTACCTCTCTTATAGCTTCTCTTCATGGTTTCCTGTTAAATCCAGAATAGAATTCATAATCCTCCTTCTTAGATATAAACCATTAAATGGCCAACCTCCATCTTATAACAGAGCTCAGATTGTTCCTTATGTTCCTAAAAGAGCACTTTGATCTCAATCTTTACTAGTGGTTCCTAGAAAGCTTTGAAGCAATCTGACTGTGATGCGGTTGAATTGTCTCTGTAAACTGCCCTGAGATTACATGTGTTGTAAATCTGCGCTATGTAAAAAAACTGAATTTAACTGAATTTCAGCAGAAGCCTCACTGCAAAAAGTCCAACTTTGCCTTTAAGCTTTATTCCCTATATTGTTGTTGGGAATCTTATTTTAAAACAAGAAAATACAAGTTTTTAAATATTATATAAATATATATATATATATATTTTTTTTTTTTTTAAGGTAGGTTGTTAACGCTTATAATCTATCAAACCAGACTTGGTTAAAAAAATCCTTGTAATAGCCTCCACAACTCATAAATTATCTTGCAGCATTTTGGATATTCAGTAGAAAACAAACTGCATCAAGTATAATTGAAAACACCATATGAAAGCAAAATTGGCTAATTACTAACAAATTTGGCCTTTGTGTCACTGTGGGCTTTTGGTGCATTTTATCTTATCTTGGTACTTTTTCCTATCAAATATTTTCTTTCAATCTTTCCACTAATACGCTTTGATACAGTACCTGGTAAAAAGCCAGCTACTTTAACAATGACCTTTTGTGATTTACCTGTCAAACAGAGGATGTTAATGACTGTCTTTTGAAAACCTGACAAGTCATTAGTCTTCCAAACAACTGGGTATGCCATAATATGGAATTTATGAATAAAAAATAATATCCTTTTTCATAGATCTTATGTGTTTTTTAAGACAATGATTTTTCACTAATCATCAAAACTGCGGGACCTTAAATACTTGAATTATTTGGCTGTATTTATATTTAGTCTATATAGCATATAAGCAACTCCTTTTAAAATGAGTCACAGAATTTTTTTCCAACATTCTAATATTTGGAGCTTAACATGTATTTATCCACTTACTAAACACCCACACAGGATCAAATATGCACACAGTTTTGTTGTGACTAAGAAACAGGGTATCTATTAATCAGAGTGTTTGCACCAAGACCATAATTGCCCTCATTTGTGATTTATAAAAAAGCTTTTAACATGAGTAGTTTTAAATTGGTCTCCCCCTACTTTCACTGCTGGGTGTGAAAAAATGCTGTCTGACTCTATGTCATTGCTCTCTTTAGATTGACAAAATAGCATATTTTATTTTTCTCAGAGGAAACTGAACAGAAGACAGCACCAGGAAGGAAAAAGAGGGAAATTAATTCATGAATCATTATGCTGTGAGTTCCAATTTCGCCACATTGTTTGAAAAAAAAAAGACACTTTCCCTCCTCCATGTCAGGGTTAGTTTTTCTGTAAAATGTGATCTCACACATTGTGAGGCATGAGTCAAAGGTTTTTTTTTTTTTACTTTAAAATAACATTTTCTTCTAAAACACTTGGATGACAAACACATTTGAAAATATTCTTATTCTTATGGTTGTTTAATGTCAAAATACTCTGCTTATAGGTATTCTACAAAATCACTTAATTTAAGGGTGGTTTATTGTTGAAATATTAAGATTTTGCATAGAAAACTAAAAAATAAATTACAGAATACAAACTACAGAACTTTGCAGACAAAATGTTGGCAACTTTTTATACTTAGCCTTTTCCCTGCTGTACACGATATATTGGTAGACTCTAGGGGTCAGTGTAACCTCTTGCCAGTGGGGTCCTTAAAGGAAAATTCCGGTTTTTAACACTTTTAGCCCCTTTTCTGTAGTGTCCAGGATGAAATTGAATGATCGACACCAAAATTACAAAATGCTAAATAAAACACTACAGGAACGTTTTTTCTTTACGAAACTTGTTTTTGAACGTCATTGAACAGCGTTGACGACTCGGTGAGTAGCATATTTTAAAAAAAGAACGTTTAAGGTTGTTTTAAGGACATTATCGGACATGCACTATGCAAGCCATTCTGAAGCAGCCAGGGGGGGATTCTGCATGAGCCAAATAGCCGAGACTGGACCAATGGTCAAAATTTTGGTGTCGATCATCTGATTTCATC